ACATCTATTCTACTTCCCAACATTTCCACTTTGTTGTTTATTGACTGACACATTAGTTGCAATTGCAAAGATTTCCCAACCCCTTCCTGCCTTGCCCCACTCCGCCCCTCCACCCGTCCCGGCATTTGATACGTAGCATAAACGACATTGCAATATGATTCAACAGAGCACAATACAATGCTATATTTGCATACATACATACATATTATATATATATATATACGGAATATACTAGTACCCCCCCCTCCCTCCCTCGCTCAGAATCCCACCCTGGAGTCTGAGAATTCTGCTCCTTTCAGGGTGGCATGCTGTTTAACGGGTTTGCGGTTTAGAGTTTAGGTCCCAATCTCCGGACTCCAAACCAGAAGCCCAGAAAGAACCCTGCGAAAACTAAGGACACCCTAAACCCTAAACCCTAAACCCTAAACCCTCAACCCTCAACCCTCAACCCTAAACCCTAAACACACACACAAGATGAACACATCAAGAAGGAGCCCTAAACCCCATGAGCCTTACGCTCTCTACAGCCTTGCATACGATACTTGCTCTCGTGCCCAGTAGCCTGGGATGCTAAAGGGGTGTTTTTTGTTGTTAAAGGGGTTGGTAAGGGAACCTAACCCCCCCCCCCCCCCCCAAAAAAAAAAAAAAAAGGGGAATCAGGGCCTACTCTAAGTCCTAGTAACCCTAAACCCTAAACCCTAAACCCTGAACCCTAAAACCCTAAAACCCTAAACCCTAAACCCTAAACCCTAAACCCTAAACCCTAAACCCTAAACCCTAAACCCACCGCTGGGCATCCCCTGCTTCGTAGCATGCCGAGCCCCAAGAAGGACGATCCCAGGCCCGACACCCGAGACGCGAGAAGGGTTTAGGGTTTAGGGTTTAGGGTTTGGGGTTTAGGGTTTGAGGTTTAGGGTTTAGGGTTTAAGGTTTAGGGTTTGGGGTTAGGGTTTGGGGTTTAGGGGTTTGGGGTTTAGGGTTTAGGGTTTGGGGTTTAGGGTTTAGGGTTTGGGGTTTAGGGTTTGGGGTTTAGGGTTTAGGGTTTAAGGTTTAGGGTTTGGGGTTTAGGGTTTGGGGTTTACGGTTTGGGGGTTTAGGGTTTGGGGTTTGGGGTTTAAGGTTTAGGGTTTGGGGTTTAGGGTTTGGGGTTTAATGTTTAGGGTTTGGGGTTTAGGGTTTGGGGTAGGGTTTAAGGTTTAGGGTTGAGGGGATGAACTCCGCCGGTCGCCTCAAGTATGGCTCAGGCCAAACCCAAACCACCGCCGGGTTCCAGGAAGTCACAAGTACCTGGGAGTCGAATCAACTCCTGGTTCCCCCTCCCTTCCCCCCCTCCCCCCCTCCCCTCCCCCCCCTCCCCCCCCCCCCCCCCCCCCCCCTCCGCCCCCCCGCCCCCCCCCCCCCCTCCCACCCCCCCCCCCCCTCCCCCCCTCCCCCTCCTCCCCCCCCCCGCCCCCCCCCCCCCCCTCCCCCATCTTTTCTTGTTCGGCAAGTCCTCTTGATTAACCGAGATTCCCCACCCTAAACCCTAAACCCTAAACCCTTTGCCCCCAAACCATGCTGGCTAAAGAACGCTGAAGAATCAGATTGGGTCTGGGGCTTCAGGTCTTCAGGCTTTATCTGGCTCCTATTTCGTACCTTTTGGGGGATAGTATAGAAGCATTCCCCCATGACTAACCAAAAGAGGAACTACATCGGAGCCTTCAGGCTTTAGGGCAGAAAAAGACTCTGGACCTTCCAACCCTTTGCTCTTTGGGACCCTAAACCCTAAACTCAACCCCAGACACCCTTAACCCTAAACCCTCTTTGATGCCAGCATACTCCAAACCATACTCAAGACTTAGGCTTGCGCCCCATTAAAAAAAACTGCTTGTTACCAGTGCGAAGGGCCAGAGCATCCGTGCCCGCGCGATGATTACGTCCATGTTACCAATGCGCGCGAAGCGCCAGAGCATCCATGCCCGCACGATGATTACGTCCGTGTTGCCAGTTTGCTTCCTGGATGCGGCCGCTGGGGTTGGTACGATTTCGCCGCGCCTGCCACGCTTTCCTGCATTCCCCTGACCCCGTTCTCTAACACGATTTTTTCTGTGCTGCGCGCCACCAAAGTTTAAGGGCTAAGCTTTGGACTTGGGCGCTTAAGTTTAGGGGGCACTTTGACACGTAGTTGGCCCGACAAACTGGTCACGAAATCGTGACCAGTTTGCTTCTTGCAGCGAACGAAGGTCTGTTCGGGATGTTTTTTTTGTTTCTCTAATGGGGCGCACGCCAAGACCCAAGAGTAACCTAGGAGCCCTGTCAGGGTTTAAAGTTTAGGGTTTAAAATGGGAGCCCTTTCGGGTTTAAAGGATTTTAAAGGGGCCTACAAAGGAACCCAAGCCCTAAAAAAAAAAATAAGGGCCTACTCTGGGTCCTAGTACGAAACCTAATACGAAACCGCTCGTGGACGATCCCCCCCCTTTGTCCCCGAACAATTTCTCGGCCTTGCCTGGCAGAGGGGTTTTTAAAGGAAGCACGGGAAGCTTCGCGGTTGACCCTAAACCCATAGGGTGTAGGGTTCCGGGGTGCTGCCACACTGCTTGGGCAATCAGGGTACTACTGGGCATCTGAGACGTTTCTGAATGGTGGCACTTGGTATGTACTCCCAAAAACCCCACCACTTGTTTATTCTTACTATTGGGTTTAGGAATTAGGGTTTAGGGTTTAGGGTTTAGTATTTGGCGTTTAGGGTTTAGGGAGTTTTTTTTGTGAGGGTGGGTACCGAAAACCACAGCAAGAGCACCATAAGCGGTTTATCGCAGTCAGGCTTGAGGCTCTCGGGTTTGGGTGTCCCAGCACACAAGAAGAACAGCTTCACACAAGCGAGTCAGGGTTTAGGGTTTAGGGTTTAGGGTTGAGGGTTGAGGGTTGAGGGTTGAGGGTTTAGGGTTTAGGGTGTATAGAAGGGAGGCTCGCTGGTGCTAAAAGCACCCGGGCCGCTCGCTTGCGTTAGCATGTAGCCCCACCCCAACCACCCCAACTGTTCTCACTTAGGGTTTAGGGTTCACCCCCCCAAACCCCCCTCAAGGGGGGCTTCCTTGCTTTTTACAGAGAAAGAGCAGGGTGGGGCCTCCCGTGGGAGCTTTCACGGAGTAAAATGGAGGGGTGCCCAAAACCGCCAATGGCAATCCTAAAAAACTATACATCCTGGGCACATCCTAGAACTCGGGGCTTCATGCAGCCGTAAGGGCAGCGGGTAGCAGGGGCCTCGGCCGGCCCCTGCTTTCAATTATGGGGAGTAAGATGAAGCAGCAAAACAGTAGGGGGTAGCAGGGGCCTCGGCCGGGCCCTGCTTGCAACTGGTCGTAGTAAGACAGAAAAAACCCATGTCAGAAGGTCGCAGAAAGGTGCGAGGGGTTTTGGGTTCGGGAGGTTTTAGGGCAGCGGCCAGAAGGGTCTCAAGGGGGATCCCAGGGGGGTTTCAGGGGGGTCTCGGCGCGTCCCAGGGGGGTCCAAGAAAACACGCTCGGTCGGGGACCTCGGTCGAAGCCTCGAGCGCCCATGTAAATGGACAGCGGCACTCTCGGCAGTTTAGGGTTTAGGGTTTGGGATTTGGGGTTTAGGGTTTAGCGCTTCCATGAAGCACCCAAAGAAGAATATCAGCTTCTGGCCCCGCACCCAGAGGCGAACGTCGCATTTCCGCCCCTTGATAAGCAGCGGCCGCTCCATGTACCTGCGTTTGGGGTTTAGGGTTTGGGGTTTAGGGACTGAAACACCCTGCAACTCTTTTACATCCGAACTCGAAAATCATGAAGTCCTGAGCCCTGAAACCCCCAACCCACGAAAATCGACACAAACCCTGAATCACAAAGCCAGAAACCCTAGACCAAGAACCTAAAGCCGAAGAAAACCTAAAGCCCTAGAGACTACCAGGATGGGCTATTATACCCTACAATCCCTTTATAGGGTTCATTATGGGGACTAATTATAAGGCCGACTGGCCCATCCTGGTAAGCCCGAAACAAAAGGCTTGATCGCCAAACCAGCAGCCCTGTAAGACGAAGAGGCGGTCTGGCGGTTTCGGGTCTCCATTGGAACCTTTAGCGTTTACGGTTTAGGGTTTAGGGTTTCGGGTTTAGGGTTTAGGGCTTCGAAGACAACATGGGCACTTCTGCACAATGACCTGCCAATCGGCGCGCTCTGCCTCCGGAACAAAGACGAGCTCATCATACGTCTGAGTTTGAAAACCAAGGGTTTAGGGTTTAGGGTTTAGGGTTTAGGGTTTAGGGTTTAGGGTTTAGGGTTTAGGGTTTAGGGTTTAGGGTTTAGGATATTGTTGAATTTGAAAACCAAGTGGGTTTGGGCGAAGTGTGTTTGCTTTGGGGCTTACGGGTGTTCGGGTTTAGGAGGGTTTGGAGGGTTTAGAGGGTTTGAGGGTTTAGGAATGGGGGTTAAGAGGGTTTAGGGTGAAGAGGGTTCTAGGTTTAGGGCGCACTAAACCCTAAACCCTAAACCCTAAACCCTAAACCCTAAACCGAGAGGGTTTACTGGGAGGTTCGAGGAGATTTGTCGAGCCTTGCGGTTGGACATCGTAGGGTTTAGGGCTTAGGGTTTAGGGTTTAGGGGTTTCGACGCTTTATGGCCCGGCCAATTGCGCAGCTCCGAAGCAGCAAAGCAAGACGCAGGCAGTTTCTTCTGCCGACACCAGGGTGTAGCCAAAATGAAAAGGCCCCGGTGTCATTGTAGTACCCGCGAGGGATATCAAAATGCGTAGTGGCTGAAGGATGATTACATCAGAGTCTGGCCGCACCTGACGACCATCGAGCGACTCATCTTGGCTGCACTTAGTAGGGTAGCTAGAAAATAAACTTTTGGCTGCCTTATTCAGAAACCCAATAACCCCAAACAAGCTAAGGATCTAAAGTTACAGTAAAGTACCACAAAGTCATGAGCCTGATCTTTGCAATCTCAGGATACCCTTGACGCACATGGTGAGACCTGAGGCATGTTCGCCCCACGGAGTCTCAGTTGTCCTTCTGGTTTATGTAGGGCTGAAGGTCCATAAGCCATGACCGAAGATTGCAGTAGCTGGCCAGGGGCAGGCAAGAAGCTCCAATGAGAGCCCAGAACACATTGAGGAGGCTCCATGGAGGAGGCTGAGCAGGCTCTGCCGCAGCCGGCTGCTTTGCAGGCAAGTGCCTCTCAAACAAGGCCGGCGGACTCGCCAGCAGGCGCATGCGCAAGGCCGAAACAGAGGACGGAGAAGAGGTGGTGTGCTTTGCAGTGTGGCTGCTGGAAACCTGTGACTGCCTATCATCGCGAAAGAGCCCCAGGTACGATGTGAGCTCGGAGTCGTGGAGAAATGAGAGAATGTAGCTCAAGAGAAGGGGGTCCATCTGCCTTTGCGCATAGACATGGGAGGCCCAAAAGAACCTCAGAGACCCAAGAATCCCCCAACAAAACGGTGGTCATCTACTATAATTCCATTACGGTATATAAACCAGGAACCTATACTACCATTAGGGTATATTGAACCCTAAACCCTAACCCTAAACCCTAAACCCTAAACCCTAAACCCTAAACCCTAAACCCTAAACCTAAAACCTTTACCCTAAACCCTAAACCCTAAACCCTTTTCGAGCATCAAGGAACTGGCCCAAGAGATGTTCCTTTCTCAGCTGCCGACGCGCGATGACTTCGAGAGCCCTCCTGCGTCCGTCGCAGCTCCGCTCGTCGCTAACCTAGGTGCCGGAGCAACCTTTGGGGTTTAGGGCATTTAGGGCGCTCCGTTGCCCTATTCGGGATGTTCGCGCTGTTCGCGCTGTGGTGTCCATGAGTGCAGGGTGTAGGGCCAGGGTTTAGGGTTTAGGGTTTTTGGGTTCAGGGTTTAGGGCTTAGGGTTTGGGGCGAACCCAACCGAACGAAAGCGGAGTGAGGACCCACTCCGCATCCTGGAAACAAAGTGCTCCACCTTCATCTTGACGATCCGCCGTCGCGGACGATGCGAGGTGTCAAGTCCTGGGAATATTCTTGCGTGTCAAAATGAACCCTAACAGGGTTTCGGGTTTAGGGCTTATGGCTCATATAATTACCATCATCGGGAATATTGTAGTATAGGGTGGCTATTATACCCTATAATCCCCTTAAAAGGCCCTTTATAAGGTTCATTATGGGGATTATAAGGGCGAATATTGTAGTATAGGGTATCCCTAAGGGTCCATGTACCTAAATAGGGAGTATTTGGGCCTTAAGGTACCTCCTATATATGGACTTTGGGGCCCAAGTATTCCCCATTTAGGTACATGGACCCTTAGGGTATACGACCTCAACTGTGGGTTCATTTGGTCACCAAGGCCCCGCGTGCGACCCGCAGTTTCAGCTGGAGAGGCCTGCATACCTAAACCCTAGCCCTAAACCCTAAACCCTAAACCCTAAACCCTAAACCCTAAACCCTAGCACCCACTACAGCATCGACCTCAGTGTATGATGGCATTCGCGCCAAGGGTCTCCATGAATCAAGTAAGAGACTGCATGGCGAATAAGCCCTAAACCCTAGCCCTAAACCCTAAACCCTAAACCCTAAACCCTAAACCCTAGCCCTAAACTGTGGGGACCTCTGAGGGTGCCATGTTTCAGATCAAGCCCAGGGGCAATTCAAGGGTTGAGGGTTTAGGGTTGAGAGTTGAGGGGGCTAGGGGGGGGGGGGGGGGGGAACCCTAAACCCTAAACCCTAAACCCTAAGCCCTAAACCCTAAACCCTTGGGTCAAGCATCGCTGCTCTTCGACTCGATCACATTCTGCAAGGCTGGATGGCGTCAGAGGCGTGTGGTTCTGGCTGTGATACAGCAGACGGACCTGCACCGTCACAAAGAGGATGAACCTGCGCTGGGTTCCTTCAGGAAGTTTAGGATTTAGGGTTAGGGAGGCTTGGAGTCTCGGGGAGTTTAGGACACCAGGCCCCCTGTATTGGGGGGAGGGGGGGGGGGATTAGGACAGCAACAGGAAGCCGGACAAGCCGGTTTAGGGTTTGGGGTTTGGGGTTTAGGGTTTAGGGCTTCGGGTTTAGGGTTCAGGGTTTGGGGTTTGGGGCATAGGATAAAGAAACAGCTTGCTTGCCCAGCAACTCCATCAGGAAGCACCTCTGCAGGAAAGGTGTCAAGTGCACGTCAAGGCTTCTGCTTGGGCCAATAAGATGCCAGATTCTGGCAGCGGACAGGCAAGAATGGCATGTCCAGAGCAGGATCAATTGAAACGGCTCGTCTAGTAGTGGAGTGTACATGAAACCTCCCAGGACCTGTATGGACGTGTCGGCAATATCCTGAGCACTGCCCCAGATCAACATTGGGCATGCCAATGTCAACAGCGGCAGCCAGCAGAAGAAGTACTCCAGCAGATCGTTGCTGCGACGCGGGTCCTCTAAGAAGTGGGCAAAAGAGGGCAGGCAATTCTGCCACCAGAGCCATGTGCCGTAAAAGGTGAGCAGCGTGGACAGGATCACGTGCAGGAAGAAGACAGCTTGATACCGGGGAGGAGTGTCACCCGCCCGCACAGAGACAAAGGCCAGCACTGCGCATCCGAGCCTTACCACCCCATCATCTTGTTTGAAAATGAAACTCGGGTAGGTTTGGGGGGGGCTATAAGAATAGATTTTAATGACATTTTAAGGATTATGTAAGGCTAATTAAGTACCAAAAATTTACAATCTTTCAATCAGCCCCTGGAAAGTTCCATCAAGAGGATCAGTTTTATGTTTCGAGTCAGGGCTTAAGGTTTCGGGCTTAGGGATTTAGGGTTTAGGGTTTTAAGGTTTTAGGTTTTTAGGGTTTAGGGCACGAACTTGAAGCCAAACTGTCAAGGCAAACCAAAGCGTTCGCCGCAGCGCCAAGAAACGGTACGAAGCCCTAACCCCTAAACCCTAAACCATAAACCCCAAACCCTAAACCCTAAACCCCAAACCCTAAACCCAGCGCCTAGAAACGGTACGAAGCCCAGCATCATCTCGAGTCGAACTCGGTGCCGTGCTGCTCCACTGCATGGCGGACGGAACAGGGCACGCAGCATGATCTGATTCTAAAGGATGCTCCGGGGACGCCCCTGAAGCACCCTAACCTAAACCCTACAGTTTCGGGTTCAGGGTTCAGGGTTCAGGGTTTAGGGTTCAGGGTTTAGGGTTCAGGGTTTAGGGTTTAGGGGGTTTAGGGGGTTTAGGGGGTTTACGCTTCAGGGCGTCCTACCTTGAAGGCCTGCTTCCGACCCTGAAGCATCTACAACCCATGCTCCGGAAGTTCCTATGCACGTGCCGATGTCGACGTCCCGTCTGCTTTTAGGACTTTCGGGCTTCCTGAACCCTACACCCAAATTGAACCCTAAACACTAAACTTGGCCCTAAACCCTAAACCCTAAACCCTAAACCCTTTTTGGGGTACTTCTCGTGCTCAGGCCAAGGCCAGGGGCGCAAGAAGCCACAAGCGGCAGAAGTCAACATCGACCAGAAGAGTCACAAGTGACCTCTACAAAACCCGAGTTTAGCGTTTAGGGCTTGGGGTTTATAATTATAAGGTTTGTGTTACGCAAAACCCGAGTTTGGCGATTAGGGCTTGGGGGTTTGGGGTTAAGTGTTAAAGTGTAGGGTTTAGGGTTAGGGTTTAGGGTTTAGGGTTTAGGGTTTCGGGTTTAGGGTTTAGGGTTTAGGGTTTAGGGTTAGCCCGAAACCACATTTAAAAAACAAAAAAAACTAAATCCGCATGAGCCAAGCCCGAAGCCGTGGAGGCCTTGGTGAGCGAGAATTTGTTTAAGAACAGCAAAAAAAGGGATGTGGGGGTGGTTTTTGGGTTTAGGGTTTAGGGTTAATACTCAGGTAGGGTTTCAAGTTGGGTGTGGGGTGTCGGTTTCGAAGGACACTGGGCTCCAAGCAAAACTGATGATCCCAAATCCAGGCCCTAGCCCTAAACCCTAAACCCTGTTTCAAGGGTTTAGGGTTTAGGGTTCCAAGCCCCAATGCCACGGTGAACACAAAGATGCCCCCCAGACCCCCCAATCCCATCATCTTGATTAAACTCTACCTCCATCCTCGGGCTGCCAAGTAGCCCTAAACCCTAAGCCCAAAACCCTAAGCCCTCAGCCCTAAACCCTAAACCTTTAAACACCAAATCCTAGCATTAAACCCTAAACCCTAAGCCTTAAATCCCAAACCCTGAACTCTCAACTCCAAACCCTGCAGCCTGATCCTCAAGTCGTCCTTATAACAAGTCCCTAGATCCGTATTCCCTTGAAAGCTTCATGGGTTTCGGGTTTAGGGTTTAGGGATTGGGGTTTAGTTTAGGGTTTAGGGTAGTTGGAACGAAAGTTGGGTTATCAAACCGCCAACATACAGTTGCAATCACGCAACTTGGAACTCCAGTCCTGAAACCCTTTAAACATGAGGTCTAATCCCTCCGCCCAAAGGCCTGACTGCAGCCCTAAACCAAAAACCCAAAACCCAAAACTCAACAGGTTTACCTTCAACCCGAACGGCCCCTGGAAAGCTAGTTCTTAGCTGGACCCGACGGTTGCCAGGGGGTTACGGAAACTAGGTATGCAGGGTTACTGTTGGGTTTCCGGCTGCAAACCGTGCCCTAACATTATTCATATGCACCCTAAACCCTAAACCCTAAACCCTAAACCCTAAACCCTAAACCCTAAACCCTAAACCCTAAACCCTAAACCCTTAAAGCTGTAACTGGTTCGCCCAGGGCCGCGAAAACAAAACCTTTCGCCGACGTCTCCAAGTCGGGCGCCTCTTGTAGCAACGGTAGGAGCTCCGAGAAGGTCCGCACCCCCCGGCCACAGTTGAGGACCGGGTCCTGGAGGGGTTTAAGGGGTTTAGGGTTTAGGGTTTAGGGTTTAGGGTTTAGGGTTTAGGGTTTGCACTTCGGGGTTTCGGGTTTAGGGTTTGGGGTTGTGTTGGAGGTAGGGTTTAGGCATGTAGGGTCTGGAGGTTTAGGTGTTTAGTAGGTTTTTTTGGAGGTTAGGGTTTAGGCAGAATGCTGGGGTTTGGAGGTTAGGGTTTTCAGGGCTCAAAGTTTAGGATTTCAAGGTTCAGGGCTCGGGGGAAATTGGGGGAGACCCTGAACAGTTTTGCCATAGGCAACGCGCAGCTGAATGCTCAACCTTAAACCCTAAGCCCTAAACCCTATAAACCCTAAACCGCTTTCTACTTAGATGATCCCATTCTCCACCAGAAACTAAATGGCGGCTTACGAAAATAAAATGTGGATTTCGGGTTGAGGGTTTAGGACCGCGAATATAGCCCCCGAAATCGTGGGATTCCCTTATAATCAGGACCCCAACAAGGTACCCCTATGTTCGGAAACCCCAAATCTGAACACTGAGCAATCTCAGCGCCATCAACCCACACCTGGCAAACCAGTAGCCAAAATTTTCGTCAGGGCACCCCTTTTGGGGTTTGTTACTTTATAAGGGAACCTTGAACCAGAAGAAGAGCGAAAAGGGTACCACTGGGCCCTAACTCCCAAACCCTAAACCCTAAACCCTAAAACCCTAAACCCTAAACCCTAAAACCCAAAACCCTAAACCCTTTGAACCACAAAGAGGAAAAGGGTACCGAGCCCCGGCAGTGCGGATTCCTTGAGGATCCAGAAGCCGTGAACGCCATTCAATGAGAATTGCCGCTGCTCCTCGCCATCTTCGGGGCTACCGCCCTGAAACTTTACATGTGACTCCCGCACCCTATTAAACAAATATACATGCCCCTAAATGTAGGCCCCAAAAAATAGGTTTGGGTCAGGGTGGGTTTAGGCTTACCTAGGGTTTAGGGTTTAGGGTTTTGGGTTTAGGGTTTGGGGTTTGGAGTTTGGGGTTTGGGGTTTAGGGTGCTCATTCACACCAGAGGAGCACTTCTCCCAGTCCCAAGTTGATGAGCAATGTGGGAGGTTCTGGATGTGCAGGTAGGGTTAGGGTTCCCAAATCTCCTCCTGCACCTCCAAAATCACCCACGGTTTAGGGCTTAGGGCTTAGGGTTTAGGGTTTCCCAGCCACCCTGTTGAATCATAGGGCCCCCCCCACCCCCCCCCAAAAAAAAAATAAAAAACTTCAGAGGTGCACTGGCCAACAAATCCTGAAGCAAAAAACCATAAACCCTAAACCCTAAACCCTAAACCCCAAACCTATATACCCCCTTGTGTCTGAATCAACCTCGGGAACCCACACTGCAGAACGCAGCAGCCTGCTTCCGGAGGTGATCCAGCCTCTGGAAAGCTGCTTTTGGGGCTTCGAGGGCGGGGTGATTAGGGTGTACTTCACCAGTTCTTTTCATTTTGTGTGTCTGTCTGTGTGTGTGTGTGTGTGTGTGTGTGTGTGTGTGTGTGTGTGTGTGTGTGTGTGTGTGTGTGTGTGTGTGTGTGTGGGTGTGTGTGTGTGGGTGTGGGTGCGTGGGTGCGTGGGTGCGTGGGTGCGTGGGTGCGTGGGTGCGTGGGTGCGTGGGTGCGTGGGTGCGTGCCGTGCGTGGGTGCGTGGGTGCGTGGGTGCGTGGGTGCGTGGGTGCGTGGGTGCGTGGGTGCGTGGGTGCGTGGGTGCGTGCGGGCGTGCGGGCGTGCGGGGGTGCGGGTGCGCGGGTGCGGGTGCGGGTGCGGGTGCGGGTGGGGGTGCGGGTGCGGGTGTGGGTGCGGGTGTGGGTGTGGGTGTGGGTGGGTGGGTGGGGTTGTGTGTGTGTGTGTGTGTGTGTTGGTTGTGCTTGTGTGTTGTGCTTGTGTGTGTAGAGGTTCCTGGGAATTTGGGGCACTGCGGGGTTATAGCTCGAGACTTAGTTGGCTTTTGGGGATGGAGGGTCGAAGCGCGGGATGAGGATACAGGGCATAATTGGGGCGTAGGGTTTCGGTTGTACTTCGAAACTGAATGCCCTGGCCCAAACAAGGCTAACCGTTTATGGAACCCTAAACCCTAAACCCTAATTAAACCCCAAACCCTAAACCCTAAACCCTAAACCCTAAACCCCGAAACCCTAAGCCCTCTATATAACCACATAAGGTTACCTACCCGGTCTCTAAGTGTAGGGAGCTTGAACAACCCCTTTAAAGCCTAAACCCTAAACCCTAAACCCTAAACCCTAAACCCTAAACCCCAAACCCTAAACCCCAAACCCTATACCCTAAACCCTAAAACTTGTGGGGTTCAGGGCTGGTGGATACCGGTGTACGGGCTGCAGGCTTAGAGATGAGGGTTTGCAGCGTTGGGACATGCCACCTTTTGGAAAGGCCAACAAAACCCTAGGCGCTCAAGCCAATAGCCGCGTTTAGGGTTTAGGGTTTAGGGTTTAGGGTTTAGGGGGGTTTAGGGGGGTTTAGGGTTTAGGGTTTAGGGTTTAGGGTTTAGGGTTTAGGGTTTAGGGTTCAGGGCTCCATAGCCTTACGTCCGCACCCGGGGACCCGGGACTTACAAAAGCTGATTTCGAGTCCTGTGAGAGAAGCTTACATAAGAGAGCTTGTTGGGGTTTAGGGGTCAGGACCCTCTTGAAACTCCAATACTTCATGGCTTTACTAGACCCTGAAGCTCATAAACCCTGTCGAACACCACCCTTTCCAACCTGAAATTAGGTTGTATTGGCTACGTAGTTCTTTAAGGGATTCAGAGGACGCTAAACCCTGAACCCGAAGCCCTAAGCCCTATGTGCTGTAGACCCTAAGGGGTCTAAATACCACTACATGGGTGGCTTTAGAAACGCTCAGCCCAAGTCCTAACCCCACAAAAACTCCAAACCCCCCCCGAATCCCAAAGTCATGAACCCTAAACGCCGGATCCCCTAAAATCTAAACTCTAAACAAGCCCTAGACCCGAAACCCCACACCCTAACCCTAAACCCTAAACAAGCCCGAAAACCCGAAACCCTAAACCCTAAACCCTAAACCACAAATCCCTCCCTGAATCCCACCAGATCGGCTTCAGGCTCCGGCCACCAGCGCCCCTCGAGCCCGAGGGCGGAGACAAGCAGGCCGTCCTTGGGTTTAGGGTTTAGGGTTTAGGGTTTAGGGTTAGGGTTTATAAGGTTTAGGGCAGTTTAGGGTTTA